GGCCCCTGGGGACCGATTTCCGGCACCGTGTCCACCTTAGTCAGTACTGTCGGGAGACTGACCCAAGAATTCGTCGAATTACCAATCAACATTGTGCAGACTTTCCAGTCACCCAAGTCTGAACCTATTGGACCTTGCGACTCATTGTCCCAAGCAAGGTCTTGCCCCCTACCAACTTGCTCTGCGCCAGCAAATCTTCTTCCCCTGAACGACAGGGCCCTCCGACCACTCGATTCCCGTACTTCGTATGTTGCAGAGTTGTTGCAGAGACGAACTCTCAACAAACAACTCGAAGCCGAGCTTTGCGGCTCTCTTAAACGCCGAGCATCCTCCCGTCATGACCGGCGCGGTCGTCAAGTTCAAAAGGGCGGATCAAAAGAATTTTTGCAGACCGTGGCAGACATTTCTGTTGACATATCGTCCAACGTGGTGTCTTCCCTGACAAACATCGCAGTCCTCTGTCTGATGTTTCCCGCCAAGCTGACCATGTCTGTTGCTTTGGGTTTCCACAACGCGCCAAAGTTGTACGGCGACAAAACGGTCCGCCCGCCGCCGTCTACACGCGTGAGTACATTCAAACACGGCCTCGGGCACGGCGCACAAGAGTTCCAGACCCAGCTATCCGACGCTGTTACCGGCGTGCTGCTGCTCCCGCTCCACGGGGCCAGAGAGAATGGTGTCGTGGGATTCACTAAGGGCCTGTGGATGGGAGCTGGCGGACTCGGGCTGAAGTCCATGGCGGCAATCTTTGGGTTACCGGCATACACGCTGAAGGGACTCCACAAGGGATTGCGTAGGCACGACATTCTGGATTTCACGAGGTATATCGATGCCGCGAGGACGGCACAGGGCGAGGAGGAGTGGAACAGGGCTACGGATGCAGAGAAAAAGGAGATCATCAGGCGTTGGAGTGAGATTGCTCCGAAGTCCTAACGGAGATTTCGAAGAACAAACCACACATGCACATGTGGAAGCACGGGTGGGCTGGACACAAAGAACGGGGTATTTGATGCGCCAAGCATGGACTGCTGCATGCAAGTCTATGACCTTTGGCCGGGCTAAATAAACAACTGAAGTATGTTTGCTTACAAAGTGTCATCGCTACGCGCAAGTGGAATAAGTCGCATCAGTGCTTCCACACCTATCTATACATGTTCTATGATACTGCACCACACCCTCGCAGACTGACAAAGTTTGACAGGCCCTTGCACCACGCGAAATTCAAAATCACCGGGCATAATCTTGCATATCCAAAGGGACTCGGAATGTTACGATTTTCGGTAAGTCATACACATTCAATCCTTCTGCCTGAATCCGCCTGCATGCATATACCACGGGCGGCGGAGCAGGTAATATACGAGGGGGAGGGCAGACACCCCCCCCTTCACTACTTGCAAGGGAGTACCAGGGGTAAGTGCTCCTTTCAGGTTCAGGCACAGACAATACATTCTTGTGATCGCACGGGATGCGCCTTGACCATCAGGCCGCTTTGGACCATTGCTTGGCTATTGCCGATTCCCCATTTAGGCAAGAGGGTTGTGGGGGCTAGGTGGGCCCCGAAGCCGACTGACTTAGTCATCCGCGAGGCCCTGCATTAGGAGGGCCACGAAAACCACCAAAGCAGAGGAGGGGCAATCAAGGAAGAGTCTCCTACAAGTAGAAAAGGGGGAGACAGCATCTGCCGGCATCCGGAGTCCCCAATTGCTTCCATTTACCCTACGTGCGAAGTACAAGTACTCCGTACCTAGAGATTTCTTGCCGAGTCCTTTCGAATGTCTTCGCTTCCTTTGAGTAAATTTCGCGAATACGCGTATACGCCCACCTGTAAATTAACGGGAAAAGCCTGCAGCAAAATATCGTCTCTGTTCGTTCAGCAGTGCAGCTAGCCTAGAACACGGCGGGTAGTGGGTGTGGTGAAGGTGGTGGTGGTCAGAAAACGGGACAGGGGCCACCGCTTCGTCCCGATCTGCTTCTCCCTGCTCCCGAGCTTATGTACTCCCAACCACTCCGTCCATGCACACTTATCTAAGCCTACAGATCGAACACGGGCTGCGAAGTGATTTTCCTGGCGAAACGAGGGCTTGGAGCTCATAGCTACTGCCACCTTATCCAATAATCTCGCATCTGGCCAGCGCCTCGTTACATAATAGGAGAACCACCCTTTTTACTATTGCCTTGGTTGGCACTTGGGTGTCAGCTTCAGGTGACCCCACGAAAGGGAAAAACTGGCCTAGAAAAACCACTACTTTCAACCTTATTTCCCTCGGTATATGAACATGTCAGATTGGGGGGTGATTGGGGGGTTGTTGAAAAGCAAATCTTTCGAGCCTTGTCCACCTCTCTTCGGCCACTGTGTTTTATCAGAACCACAACTATGGTCGAGATCGAGTTCCTGCTCGTGAAACCCGCACCAGGTACTGAATCTCGCCGCGCACAAGAGTTGCGAATCGCGGCGGCACGCTCTCACGCAGCACGAGTGACCCACCACAGAGCCAGACAGAGGAAGAAAGAGATCCGGGAGGAAGAAATTGATGATGGAGAAGATGGTTTCGAGTATGGTTGCTGCTGCCAGTCGTCCTCCGCGACGGCAAATAATGGCAAGGCTTTATCGCGGTGGATCCAAACACAAAGGGGAGGTCCTGCTTCCCGCAACCGATCGGTATGGGCTCGTGAGAACAATGACATGTCTCCTGGTTGCTACTCTCCCGGGGATGTCGATCAATCGACAGTTTTCTTGGGAACAATTCTCAGCCAAAGCAGGCAGGACCCTTTTGGATCATACGATGGCAGCAATCTCCCCTGCCGATTGCTTTCCGTCTTAGAAAATGGTGAGTGAGCCTGCGAACATCAATCAGCGTTCACTTCCCTGTCAGACTTTTTTGGTATTCTGTTTAAGGCCACCAGGCACGAGTCCCTCCAGGACTGATTGAACTAATTAACATAGCTTACGAAGTTGTCTGGCCGAAGATGGTGCAATCTGAGGGCGATCAGCTGGCTGTGGCTAAGAAGGCTTGGAGACAGGCTGCTGTCCAGTATCCTTTTCTTTTTCACTGCCAAGTCATGGGTGCAGCTGGAGCTGCCTTGAGTCTTTGTGAAGATGAAACGGCTGCCAGATATCTTTCTCTGAAGCGGCTTGAGCACCAAATGATTGCCATCAAGCTCATCCGCGAAGAACTGCATTTGATCAACAGTGGAAGGTCGGAGCCATCAGATGAGCTGATCATGGCCATTTTAAATCTCGTCACCTCGTCGGGAGACGTCAACGAGGCGCCTGGAGACGATGTTCACCCCAAGTCGCCGCTCGCACAAGCCCAGCCAGTCGGGAGGGTGAAATTGAATGATACGCATCTTCAAGCTGTACATATGCTGATCAAACGTAAAGGTGGACTGCAGGGGTTGCAATCATAGTAAGTCTCCCCCAAAGCCCGTGTCCATTCTGGAATCCGTTGCTCTTCCATCATTGGCTATGCGACTCTTCAATACTAATGAGAACAAGTGCTTTGGCATATATGATCGAAGTGTAAGTATCCGAGATTGCAAATGGATGGGCTCTTGGTTAACAGCAGGTAGTGTTGACATTTACGTGGCCACCCTGAAAGGCAGTCGTCCGCTTTACCCTTGGCTACATGGGTCCCAGGATCTCGTGGCCACGGGGAAATATATTCCAGACAAACACGCAACAGACTTGTTCAGTGTCCTGGGGAGCGGCCTAACGGTCCTAGCCACCGTTGATGTCCAGCTGCATCAGCTGTATCTCGATGCCTGCCAAATCACGATTGCCCTAGACCAGTATCACCGAGACGCAAAAGGGCACCCCTCTTTGTCCGATCTTGTGGACGCCAGAAACAGAACTCAGCACGGCTTCTGTAGCCTGGCCCCGTTGACAGATTTAGAGACAGATCCTTTTGCCGCCCTTTACGAAACGTGTCGGCTTGCTGGTCTGATCTTCTCTGATATGGTAATATTGCCATTACCACACAACAGCGGCGTCAAACTTCGCCTGTCCCGCCGACTTCGCACGGTTCTAGAGGCTCCTGGCTTGCAGATGAGCTGGAAGTCCGCCGATTATGGCAACTTGTTGATGTGGGTTGTCTTCATGGGCACAATTGCTGCCACCTTCACGAAAGCTCGTGGATGGTATTTACAGAAACTACGGAATTTGATCGACTATCAGCAATTGGACTGGAACGGATTCAGAGGGTTGATGAAGACATTCCTCTGGTGGGACTTTGTGTTTGAAGCCCCGGCCGTAAGAATATGGAACGAAATGAACGCACCGAGCTTCGAGCGAAATTCCTCCGCCGTTCCCCAATAATGCCCGGCCGGGGCAATTCCCCCACTGGGAGTCGTGTGATGAGATGTAATTATACATTTTGCATGGCTGCGGTTAATGGTTCTGGAAAGTCTGAGAGACGCATCATCCAACAACGAAAAGAAGGGGTAGAGGAAGCTCCGACCAGCAACATCATGCCAGGAACCTGATGGACCCAGTTTCCAATTGCCAGTGACTGGGTCCAACTCGTCGCCGAGAACAGTCGACACTGAAAGAATACTCGAGTGGTGTTGTGTGACTCTAGAGACGAGTAACACTTCCGCATAACCCTGAACTTGCCAGCTAGGAAGGTGCTCCACCTATTATGTATACTTCCTGAATGCAACTGTTCCCCAAACCTGGGAGATGGATGTTCTTCGCGAACAGGCGAGGATGTACTGTGCGTGAATCGTGTTCGCTGTGGCCCGTGGGTTCCAAATTCTGAAGACAGATTTGGTCTCCTCACGTGGATAAGTTGCCAATAAAGTTGAAACTTTGTTTTCTCTGCCTCTCGCGACCATGGCACAGATATAGCCCAAGGCTCAAATTCCTTCCATCTTGAATCATACCACATAATACAGACATTTCATATCCAAAAGCCACCGCAGAAAACATGTCATTAAAGTCATCGGTCGCGGGCGTCTTCTCGTCACTTCGATTTCATCTCCATCACTGAATTATGTGCCGTTCATGGAATTTGTCCTGGTTGTCCACTGGTAATTCTACCCCCTTCCGGAGTCTGCTCCTGCCTCCGTCCTCCCATAGCCAAGTAGTCTCTGTTTTCCACTGTGACACTCTTTGTCATGTGATTGACCTTGTAGATACCTACCAGGCGCTCCGCGAGTTCGAACATGTTGTTTCGCAAGGAAATGACAATGAACTGTGCGTTCTTGGTACGCTCTTTGATGTAACCGGCAACAATTGATACCTACAAGACGAAGTCAGCATTCCACCAGCAGCAACTAACAAATCAAGAACACAACTTACGTTTCTGAAATCCAAAGCCGCATCAATCTCGTCCATCACGTACAAGGGCGTGGGCCGATAAACATGGAGCGCAAACACTAGAGCAAGCGAACTCAGTGTCTTCTCCCCACCGGACAAATTGCCAATATTCTTCCAGCTCTTCTTCGGAGGCATGACGGAAAATAGAATGCCCTCGGAAAACGGATCGAGACTGTCCACAAGCTCGAGTTCAGCATTGCCTCCTAGCGTGATGAGCTGGTACATAGACTTCAGATGCGAGGAGATGGTTGTAAAGCCTGTCATGAACTGCGTGAGGCGAAGGTTGCGTAAATCAGTCAGGCGAGTTTTCGCGGCATCTCTTGTCTTCACAGCATTCTTGAGGTCGCTCATCCGGGATGCCACCTCTTCACACCGACGGCGATATTCGGCTATGACGCTCAAATCAATGCTCGAGGCATTGGAAACCTTTTCTTCGAGTGCCGCAATTGAGGCAACAAGATGATCCTTGTTTTTATCAAGAAGCTCATCGCGGGTAAATGTTTGTAGCTGCCTTCGTGCCGGCGTGGGAGGGACCTTTTCCTGTTCTTCATGCTGTCCTTCATCGATGTCCATGGCGTCAGGATCTGCTTCAGGAGGTGCGTCAGGCATTTCTTCTTCATTCGCCGGTCGCTGAGGCTGTTTCTCGCCTTGATCTTGGGATATTACTTCCAGGTCCACAATGTCATGTAATGTAAGTTTGGACAACTTCTCTGTCCAATAACGACTCTTTTTCTGGTTGTCTGCCAGAACCTTTTGGTTCTCCTCGAGCTTGTTTTTCATTTCGATTTCAACGGCTCTGGTCGAGTTCAACTCGGCTGTTTTCGCGTCGAGATCCTTCTTCAAGCCTCCAAGTTCGAATTTCATTGTGGTCTGTTGTTCTTCAGCTTGATCCACCTGAGCTCGCAGCTCCGAGGTAGCAGACTTGTGCCTCTCGATATCCTGTTCCAGTTTCTCAAGGTCTTTTGACAACAATTCAAGTTCCTTCTCTGCATCCGATCTCGTCTTTTCGTTCTTGGCCTTGAGTTTTTCGTTCTTCGTCTTTGCTACTTCAGCATTCGAGATGTCATCATTCAACATGTCGATTCTTTCTTTCAGGCCATCGACCCGAGCCTTGTGAGTTCGGAGTTGAATACCACCAACTTCCATAATCTGGTCCTGTAGAGCTTGGATCTCGGCTTCCACACTGGCCGTCTCGGAGCGTAGTTTTGCAAGTTCCTTGTTCGTTAACTCAATGTGCGTCTGAAGACGTATCATCTGAGAGTCGTCCACTGAGGTGCTAGCCAAGTCCGTCGTCAGATCCTGGATACGTCTCTGCGCGTCTGCGATATTCCTGGCGCAGGTCTCTACTTCAAGATTGGTCTTCTGCATAGCAGTTTCCAGCCGAGGGATTTCCTCTTGTTTTTCTCTAAGGCTTGCCTCGAGTTCCCTTTGTCTTGTCTGAAAAGCCTCGAATTGCTTCTCCAATTGATCGCGATCATTCTCAAGCTTTTGAACTTGGTCTTTCGTTGTATCGGAAGACAACTTAGACGACATCGCACCTCGTGCAACGCGGGTTCCGCCACCGCTCATAGTGCCAGAGACGTCAATCAATTGACCGTCAAGAGTGACTACTCGCCATCTTTTGGCACCATAAGCAATGCGATTTGCCTGCTCGAGATCTTGCGCAACAAGCGTATTCTGCATGATGCTGTAGAAAGCGGGGCCAAATCGCCCATCCTTAGGCTTGATGAGGTCAAAAAGTCGAGGCACATTCTCAGGAGTTTGTATGGGAGACAGGTCACGGTGGGCTAATTTGTCCAGAAGAATGAAGTTTGCTCGTCCTAGGTTGTTCTTTCGGAGATACTCAATACATAGCTGGCCGACTTCGACATTGTCGACAACCATGTTCTCCAACGATGGACAGGCAGTCGAAATGGCAACGTCGAACTTTTCATCGATCGTGCCCAGATTGCCGAGGCGACCGTGGAACCCATCAATTCGACCAGAATCCCTGAGGCGCAACAAACCCTTGAGGACGTTGCTTTGATTTTGACTGGCTGCGAGGCTCGCACGAGCCTCATCCGCCTTCTGTCGAGCCGAAGATATCTGTGATCGGACCTCGGGTTCACTAGCAGCGAGCTTTTGCAAAGCATCTTGGATCTTCCTAATATCCTTCTCCAGACGATTTTTTTCGTGTTTTCGTTGTTCAATTTCTCCAAGCTTCGTGGTCTTCTCTGCTTCAATGCTTGCAATCCTTTCGTTGGCCTGGTCTATTGCTTTTTGGCCACTGTTCGCTTTTTCCTTGAGAATGTCGAGCTCGGATTGCGCAACGGCAATTGCTGATTGCTTCTGGTTGATCTTTTTATTCCATGGCTCTAACGATTTTTGTTTCGCCGCAATCTGATCGGAGAAGCCCTGGGTCTTTCCCTTAAGATCCTCCCTGATGACGGCCAGCTTTTGCTCCTCTCGCTCCATCTCTTTCTCAAGCTCAACAACTTCGGCACTTTTCCGTTGGACATCGTCCGTGTGTTTTTCGACAAGACTTTGGGCTTCAGATACAGCCAGCCGACTGGAGGTGGCCGTCTTTTCCGCTTTTTTCTGCTTTCCACTGATGAATTTGCGCTTTTCATCAAACTTGACGTTCTCTTTGTCGCATTTAGCGAGCTCTTTATTAAGCTCTTGAACCTGCTTCTCAATACGCTCATATTGCTTGACAGCTTTGTGGTAAGCCCTTTCAAGATCCTTGATGGCATCTTCACTGCCAGCATGTTTCTCCAGCTCGGCATTGAGCTGCTGCTGAATTTGCTGTATCGCCTCTTCTGTGACCCTGGTGTTGTCTTCGCATTCGGCGATGTAGATTTGGTACAGGGCTGACTGCTTTTCGGCCAATTCGTTCTCATCCCGAATAAATGCCAAAGCCTTGTTTTTCTTGTCTTCGAGGCTGTTCTTTTCTTTTTCAACATGCTGAACGCGACCTTGTTTTTCAATGCAAATCTCATTGAAACTTTCAAGCTCGACAGCCGCTTCTTCAATGGGTGTCTTGTACTTTGAGGTTCCAATGATGTCCTCAAGGTACTCCAATAGCCCATCGTCATGTTCGTTTGCGGCTTTTGGCTTCATCTGTGCAATCGACTCGACCTCACCCTGTAAGATCAAGAATCGCTTGTGGTCCAGATCGATACCCTTATCCTTCAGCAACGTCGTCACTGCCGTAAAATTGGTTGACCTGCCGTTCAAATAATAGTTGCTGGAGTTGTTCTTGAACGCTTTCCTTGAGACTACGAGTTCCGAGTCTGGGACCACTTTGTGTTTCCCTCCCGGTAGATCGATGATCTCTTGGAAGTAGACTTCAACCTCGCAGAAGTCAAGATCTTGGTGGCGCGCCGAGCTGTGGATCAGCGCCGAGATTTTGCCCTGTCGCATCTTGCTCGCCCTGAAACCGAACACAAAAAGTAAAGAGTCGATGACATTGGATTTCCCAGAACCATTGGGTCCAACGACCGCAGAGAATGAAGCATGAAATGGGCCCACCACCTGCCTCCCAGCATAGCTCTTGAAGTTTGTCATGACTAATTGTCGAATGACCATCCTAGAACTGGGTCCCGTAGGCTCTTCCGCACTCGGAACAGCTTGCGCCCGTGCCCGTATCACGATGTCCATGGGCTTCTCCAGCATCACATCTGCCGGTCTTGTTGGCTTGCGTAATTCTTGATCCACGTCCACCTGGACATTTTTGTTCAAGGCCCGACTCGTAATGTCCTTCAATGGCGTTCCTGGTAAGTTGTCAGGCGCAGGGCTGGTGGTAGTGTCAGGAGGAGGTAGTTCAGGGAGGGGAGGGACAACGGAAGACCTCTGGCCCTTTCGAGGAGCTGCACTCTTTCGTTTTCGGGGCGACGCAGTCTTAGATGGGGAGGGAGGTCCACTGGACACGGCTTCTTCTGCATCGAATATTTGTGAGGGTTCGATCCCTTCGCCGGTCTTGACTTTGCGCGAGCGGGCTGATTTCTTAGGCGATGCGGCGACATTTGCAGTTGTTTGTCTTCTCGTAGATTTTCGCGGGCTTCGCTTCGGTGCAGGCGTGAACTCTTCATCATCGTTATCCTCCTGAATTAGGCTCAGCTCGTCTTCGGACTCCTCTACAACAACGTTTTTACGCGCAGCACGGCGCGTCGGTCGAACTGGTGTTTCAGCCGACATCTTGAACCGAGTCTCTTGGAGTGCTGGGATAGCTACCGAGTCAGTTGAGAAGGCTCAATGTTTGTCTGTGTTGACATTGACGAAAGAGGAAATGGTCAGACCAGTGCCAAGCATCGCATGCAGCGGAAGAACTTTCCACCATCCCCCGCTCAGCCTTTTTGTAGTGCCAAGGCTACTCCGCAGCTCGGCTCGCTCGTACAGTAATAAAGTAGTTTGCTACCCAGCCTCGCTAGGTAATACCTACGAAATACAAAGTACGTAATACTGCATACAGGCCTAGATACTTGTACGAGCACAATTGGCCAAATTCTAGCAAGTAGCGCAGAGCAGCCGCGCAAATGCAATCACATTCAACCGTCGCATTTGGACAGGGCGGTTGCTCAACCTCCCAGAATCACCAGAGCAGCATCAACTGTAAATGTCGACCTTCTTGTCATGCAAAGACTGTTTTTCTTTATGCGATATTATCAAGTTAGGTCTCTTGAGCAGTATTTATCAATGACCATGTCCTCAGCAGACGGCCTACCTAACAATATCCATCAGCATGTCGGCTTCGTGTCTGTCAGCCCTGTGCCAGGCACGATGGAACTCGTGTGGGGTTGTATCTTCACAATCATCTTTTGCACCTGGAACGTTCAGCATCTCTCAATCACTTCTCCCTACAAGTCGACATGGCGGGATCTAGCTCGAAAGGTTAAGTGGGCCCTAATAACCATTATTGCCCCAGAATATATATCTGGGATAGCAATCATTGAATACCACGCTACTCGCACCCAGACTCAGAAGATGCAGAATCATGGATTTCGATAGTGGACAATGAAACATTCGTTTTTCGGCGGCATGGGCGGATGCCTATTGGAATATCGAAATGAGAGACGAATCATCATCAGACCGGCAGTTGTTAGTGTTCCTGGAGATTGAATGCTCCGGGATCGACGGTTAGAGTGGTATGAACATCTTTCAAAAAGTTATCGCTACGACACAACTTATACGGTTCGCCCCCCAATGTATTAGCAGCGCCATCAAAGGGATGGAGTTCGCTCTCCTAGAAGTCACAGCACTCGGCGTCATCATCTACGCGACTGTCACCCTGTTCTTTTGGTGGAAGAAGCCTAGTGGAGTTTCTACACGAAGGAAGATCCGCTGCTCATCGATCAGTGGCCAAGATATCGACAGAATGCTTGCGGACCCAAAGGGTAAAAGGCAATCACAGATACTGGAATTGCATTTATCTCAAACTGACTTCGGCAATGATGGCCTGAGCTTCTTGTTGTTGTGCTTGTCGTTGTTACTGATTGTATCAGTTGGGGGATGGCATCTCACTGCATGGAACTACTCGTTCCCCACCACAGTAGAGAGCATTCTCTGGAGAGTGTCCAGCGTTTCCTCGGGTGTTGTAGTGATTGCACTCTATTTTTCATCTTTTTGTGACGAAGCTGAGTCTTGGCTGTCAGAATGAACTTTGAATCTCTTGATACTTGCGTACGTGATAGCCCGAATGTTCCTCATTGTTGAGACAGTTATTTCGTTGCGATCAGCGCCAGCAGGGATTTACGAGCGTGTTAGCTGGAGCGACTTTGTCCCTCATGTCTGAAAGGGTGTATATCGGTTTGGAGAACAGCTGGTGCGTTGGGCTTCTCCCTCGTTGCGTTGTTTGATATCCTAATGCCCACCGGACGGCTGCGACCCAAACATTATCACATACCTCTATCTTGAAGCAGGTCACTGTTGTCCGAACTGTTTTCCTCAACGACACGGAATCCATCAACACTCAAGCCCGCTTTTCCCTTCTTGATTCCCAACCCATCAACACCCACACTCGCTCTTTCTCTGCTCAGCTTCGAAAAGTCTTCAGCATCTTTTGCTGTTATTGTCACAGTGCTGGGGTGCGCTGGTTCATACAAGCCTAACTTTGGACCTCATATTCCGTTGGCTTGCCAGTCCATTCCTACATTGTAATCTCCGCTATCTGCTGACACAATGAGGAAACATGTCCATCACGGATTTGCTCAAAGTCGCGAACTGTGAGTAATCCTACAACGATGCAGCAATACACTTGGACTGCCACGGAGCGAAAGATCGAGTAACGGCTAGAGGGAAGCTGGGATACGAGGGTTGACTTTGTTCGGTGATGAATATCCAATCGAGGCTTGAAGAGCATTATTCCCTTCCCTACTTCGCCAGAAATGCTTGAAAAGCTGAATGCTCAATAACAACATTGCCGACAGCTTTCAACTTCTTCCTCCCTTCCTTCTGCTTTTCCAACAACTTCATCCTCCTCGTTTTATCCGCCGCATGCAGTTTTGCAGTTACGTCCTTCCTGAACGGTTTCAACGTTTCCCGCGCTATGATCTGTCGACCGACGGCAGCTTGGATGATTACCTCGAACATTTGGCGATCGACATGTTCCTTGAATTTCTCCACCCATTGCTTTCCCACATGCCGGACTTGGGAGTGGTGCATTACGCGGGAAATGGCATCGACAGGCTCCTTATTAACCAGCAGTTGGAGCTTCACGATGTTGCTCACGCGCCATTCCGCTTCTTCGTAATCAAGGGTAGCATACCCTTTCGTAGCCGACTTCAATTTCCCGAAGAAGTCGTCGACGAGGTGGGCCAGGGGCATCTCGTATTTCAGAATGACTTGAGAGGATGTGAAATATTCCATGGACTTTTGTTCGCCTCGGTTAGCTTCGCAGAGTTCCATGACCTTTCCCAGATACTCTTCGGGGAAGGTCAGAGTTGCTAGAACGTAGGGTTCACGAAGTTCTGCCACATTCTTGCGTGTCTCGTCGCCGTCTGGGAACTCGGCAGGATTCGTGATGACCTCTTCCTTGCCGTTCTTGTAGAGGACTTTAAATGGTACTGTAGGTGGGGTGATGATAATACTTGCCCCATGTTCTTGTCGAAGTCGGTCTTCAAAGACGGAGCAATGCAGTGTCCCCAGGAATCCCAGACGAAATCCAGCGCCGAGTGCCAGTGATGATTCCTTTTGGATAGTAACACTCCTATCGTTCAACAGGAGCTGATTAATGCTATCTTCGAGGTGCTCGAATTCGCTTTGATCCACGGGAAATGCAGCAACAAAGACCATAGGTTTGGGTTCTTCGAAGCCCGGCAATGGCTTGACTTGCGTTTGGAATCCGACCTTGGTGTATGTATCTCCAATCTTGGCTTCGCTGCTCTTTCTCATCGAAGGATTGAAAAAAACATATCCAACTTGGCCAGCCCGAAGGACCTTTTGGGGTGTTTGATCCGGATACATAATACCAACCTCGCCCACAGTATACTTGAGACCCGTCGCGAACGAAATAATCTGGTCTCCAGCACGAAGTTCGCCATCAAATATTCGCACCAGTAGAATGACTCCCTTGTAACTTGAATACCAGGAGTCTACCAGGAACAATCGCAGCGGTTTCGTGTGATCCCCGACGGGTCTGTCACAGTCAGCAAGGATGTTTGGACAAAGGCACGTCCTGATACCTACGCTGGAATCTTTTCAATTACAGCTGGAAGGACGCTTTCCACGTTCAGGCCGGTCTTGGCTGAGACTAGGACAGCCAAATCAGGGTCCAATTCAAAGGCATCATGCATTTGTTCCAAAGCCCTTGGAGGGTCGGCGTGAGGGAGGTCGACCTTATTGATGACCGGGATCAATGACAAGCCTTGTGCGAAAGCAAGATAGAAGTTGGCGACTGTCTGGGCTTGGACGCCTTGACTGGCATCCACCAGCAACAGAGCGCCGCCACAGCTAGCATAGCTTCGCGAGACTTCGGCACGAAAATCAACGTGACCGGGAGTATCCACGAGATGAAGTAGATAATCCTCGCCTTTGTAGTTGTAAATCATGGAACATGTTTGAGCTTTTACTGTGATGCCCCGTTCTCTTTCCACATCCAGCTTGTCAAGGACTTGCTTGTTCGAGCCTGGTTGGATGGTGCCGGTCAGCTCCAGAAGTCGGTCGCTGAGTGTACTCTTGCCATGGTCAACATGCGCAACGATGCAGAAGTTACGATATCGCTGAATCGGGATGGCGGCGATACGAGTCTCGAGGTCGCCTACATGACTGTTATTCGACGCGGAGCGGAAGGCAGAGGTTGCAAAGGGTCGTATTCGGGGTCTATGCCATGTTGAGGCAGAAGCGTTGCTTAACGCAGCTCTTCGCCGAGCAAAGATCTGCAGCCATGATCGCATGGGTCAAAAGAATGAGGTGGTGACAGACATTGACCCTGACTGCGTGCTGGATGTGCGCTTGGTGCTGTGCTTGGGCTGGGAAAATCTTGTTGTTTCTCACGTGCAGAATCTGAATGCCGCCGATTATTGCCCGGTCAACAATCAGCACCAACACAAAACCTCCCAATTTTCGTCAATCATGCCTTGCTTCGCAGTGAACGTTCGCCATGAACAAGATGGCGGTTGAAAAGAAGGACAAGTCGCAACTTCATAAAGTCGCTCTCAAGGGGAAGTTCGCATTGCTTGAAATGAGAATAACGTGCTAATGAATGCGCAGGGTCATCGAAGACAGTCGCGGAATTCGTAAGTGCGTCCGGGTCGATCTCACATGCGCCGAGACTGAAAGAAAGCAGTTTGAATACTCGATAAACACGATACTGTGAGCCATGGGGTTGAAAATAGGGAGACCATATACTGATACACCATAGATTCCAGAGAGGCGTATATCCCGCAGAAGATTTCACACCGTGAGCCGTATGGAAACACCCGGGGGAAACAGCTGACTGAGGATCACAGGGTCAAGAAATATGGACTCAACATGCTCGTATCTTCGGACGATCAAGTCAAAGCATACATCAAGAAGATCATGTCACAGCTGAACAAATGGATGGTCGGAGGCAAGATCTCGAAGCTGGTGGTGGTCATCACCAGCAGAGAGACCGGTGAGCACGTAGAGAGGTGGCAGTTCGATGTCCAACTCTTGGGAAAGTCTTCGAAACAGCGATCCTCAAAAAAGGCGGTGGACAAGGAAAATGCAGCACCCGAGTAAGCCACGCACAAAGAAGGCTGCAAGACAAGACTAACGAGGAAACAGAGAGGCAGCAGCAGGGGAGACGGAACCCGAGAAGACCGAAGCTCAGATACAGGAAGAGATTCAGGCCATCTTCCGCCAGATCACAGCGTCTGTTACATTTTTACCCGTGTTGGATGGGAATTGCACATTCAACGTGTTGGTTTACGCTGATGCGGACTCGGATGTTCCTATTGAATGGGGAGACAGCGACGCCAAAGAGATCAAGAACGCGGAGAAAGTCCAACTACGAAGTTTCAGCACCAGCAATCATAAGGTGGACACTATGGTTAGCTACCGATTGGCGGAGTGAAAGTCCCACGGTATTCTCGGGGAGGCATGGAGTTCCAGGGTCCTCTTGGAGCTGATGAGATTAACGATAGATGACAGAATAGGACTGGCAATTTGAAGGATAAGCAACCCAAATACTGATCTCGGTGCCTGAATGAGTCGAGCATGACTGATAATGGCCATGATTGGCTCGGAGTGGCGAGGCTGCGCAGCCTTGTAGAGTGGGGTGAAGTTGGAGAAACTTTTTGCGGTCACCCACCATGGTTTCTCTGCTCCTCCAGAAATGAATGATTCACGCCGTAACATGCACTTCGCCTGTCCTGCCCACGAACTATAGACATTCCGTCGCTATCGATCGGGGCTCATCTTATTGAACCGGGAAACAACGACCGCGCCGATGCCTGACCCTCCTTTGTGTTCCCTATTCCCACGCCGCTCACTTCGGTGATAGTGAAAGCAACATGGCTGCAGCCACGCAGGTCCAGGATATCATCCTGGGAAAAGAGCAAGTGATAAATGACGTTCCCAAAGTGATCAAGGAACTTCAATTTGGCGTCTTGTAGGATCGACTGTGGCGAGAGTTGGAGAAAGATTCTAATGTGTCTAGTTCTGATCAAGACATCATCAATCAGTCCGCCGTTGAACTCGTCGACCGCCGCTTATTCGATCTTGACAAGACACGTTCAGATGGAACACGTGCTATCGCTGAATATGGGCCCCTTGATAGGCGCATGGGAGTGTCGTCTAAGCAGAATACCTGCGAGACTTGCGGAAAACATCTACAAGAATGTAACGGACACTTTGGACATGTCCGACTGGTCCTCCCGGTTTATCATGTCGGATATTTCAGAAAAGTCATCCAGATTTTACAGAGCATTTGCAAGGCAGGCATTGTGTTCAAACACACCGGCACCAAGTACTGACCTTTTCAGGACTGTTCCTGCATTCTCCTCTCCGAAGTCGACCGCCGAAAATTCCTGAACGCGATCCGCAAATCACAGAATGATAGTCTGAAACAGACTGCTATTGTCAGACGGGTTGCGGACCAATGTAAAAAAACAAAGGTTTGCTTCGAGTGCGGAGCTGTCAATGGCTTGGTTCGGAAAGCTACGACGAATTCCCTCAAGATAACTCACGACAAGTTCAGGTCTTATAACGCCTCTACTTCGGCCAAAAAGGTTCCGCCGCCCGAGAAGGTAGCATTTGACAAATCCTTCGAGAGTGCAAAACTTGCAAATTCCGAACTCGAGAAGCATCTCAAGAAGGCAATGGACGACCTAACCCCTCTTCGAGCTTTCCGGTTGTTCCAACGAATCCGCCGCTCCGATCGTGAATTGCTCGGACTCTTCTCCGCGAGACCGGAATCTTTCCTTTGGACATATGTCCCTGCTCCTCCTGCGTGTATCCGACCATCGGTAGGACAAGAGGCTTCAAGCACAGAAGATGATATTACCGCGAAGCTAGGAGACATCGTTGCTGCGAATGATGCATTACGCGAAACCCTGGAGAAGGGGTTGCCCACCGTACAAATCATTGAGCATTGGGATTATTTGTCTTTGCAGCTGGCAATGTACATCAATAGTGACGTCCCTGGTCTTTCAAAAAGTGACTCTGGCAAGCAGATCAGAGGGTTCGTCCAACGTCTTAAAGGAAAGCAAGGACGCTTTCGAGGCAACCTTTCTGGCAAACGTGTCGATTTCTCTGCACGGACTGTCATTTCCCCTGACCCAAATCTGCGCATTGATGAGGTCGCAGTCCCTGTATTGGTGGCAAAGAACATGACCTACCCGGAAGTGGTCAATGAGCTCAATATTGACAAACTACGACAACGAGTGCGCAATGGGCCTGATGTCTGGCCGGGAGCCAACCATGTGATTAAGAAGGAAGGATTTAAAAATTCCCTGAAGTTCGGCAATCATCTCACAGCCAGTCATTTGAAAGAAGGCGATATCGTTGAACGCCATCTCGAAGACGGAGATGTGGTCCTATTCAACCGCCAGCCGTCACTGCACAAACTCAGCATCCTTAGCCATTTCGTCAAAGTTCGACCCCATCGGACGTTTCGGTTGAACGAATGTGTCTGCAACCCTTACAATGCCGATTTTGATGGGGATGAAATGAATCTCCACGTCCCTCAGACTGAAGAAGCTCGGACGGAAGCAATGCTTTTGATGGGTGTCAAGCACAACATCGTAACCCCTAAAAACGGCGAACCGATTATTTCGGCAATCCAAGACTTCATCACGGCGTCGTTCCTCCTGAGCAGCCTGGACCAATTCTTCGATAAAAAAACCTTTGTGACAATGTGTTGCGGGATGCTGGAACCTGAAACAAAGTTCGACCTTCCTCCACCTGCAATCATTAAGCCACAGACACTCTGGACAGGCAAGCAGGTTTTCAGTGTCTTGATGCGACCAAACAAGGAGTCGCATGTGAGGGTCAATCTTGATGCCGCTTGCCGAGATCACAACCAATACCACCCAGGCCTACACCGAGACCTTCAAGATGACAGTTTCTTATGTGTCCGCAACTCAGAAGTGCTTTGTGGCAGGATGGACAAGTCAACGGTTGGATCAGGAAAGAAAAACTCGATCTTCTACATTCTCTATCGTGACTTCGGACCGGACGCCGCCGCCCAGGGGATGAATCGTTTGTCTAAACTCTGCGCGAGGTGGCTGGGCAATCAAGGTTTCACTGTTGGCATCAGTGATGTAACTCCGCCCGAAAAACTCGTCAAGGAAAAGGCCGATATGATAGCCAAAGTATTCGACGAGTGTAGCTCTTTTGTCCGCGATTCAAAGGCAGGCAAGCTGAAACGAAAGGCGGGTTTGGACAACGCAGGCACTCTCGAGGCCGAGCAGATCCGGGTGTTGAGTACGGTTCGAACCAACATTGCCGGGATTTTGACCTCTCAGCTCAGCAAAAACAACACTCCAATGGTCATGGCAGTTTCGGGATCCAAAGGCTCAAATATCAATGTCGCTCAAATGGCGGCTCTGCTAGGACAACAAGATATTGAAGGAAAGCGTGTTGCCGATGGTTTTCAGGACCGTACCTTACCGCATTTCCTGAAGCATGAACGATCACCTCCCTCAAAAGGCTTTGTTTCGAATAGCTTCTTCAGCGGGCTACTACCTTACGAATTCTTGTTCCACGCTGTGGGTGGTCGAGTTGGCCTTGTGGACACTGCAGTCAAGACAGCAGAGACTGGTTACATGTCGAGACGACTGATGAAGTCTCTCGAAGATCTTTCTACTCACTATGATCGCACAGTCCGCAACTCGGCTTCCAACATCGTACAGTTTCGCTTCGGAGACGATGACCTCGATCCCGTCGACATGGAGGCAAGTGCGAAACCAGTTGATTTTGAACGCACCTATGCTCATGTTGAGGCGACCACATTCAATATGAAGGACCATGGTCTGAGAGATACCGAGATTTTTGGTGTCATGGAAGAAACTCTCTCGGCAAAGAGACGTCTGTTGACAAGACTCGGGCTCAATGGTGTTGAACATCGCTATGATACTGAGGACGACAGATTAGTCGACCAGCACGAAAGTAATCGAGCATTTTTACAGTCGATACATGATTTCGTCATGGCAAAATCCCAGGCTTTCAACGAAGCAAGGGCGAAGAAGAAACAGTTTGCTTTACCACCCTCTGCAACAGGTTCTAAAGGGAAACGAAAAGCTGCGGCTGGGCCGGACGAGGTGGGTGACGAAGAACCTGCGCCGAAACGACGTTCAGGCAAAAAAGGCGCCAATCCTACCGCATTGAAAGTTTCGAACAACCAAAAGCTCATTTCAACAGACGAGCATACGCTGACCAAACCGCCTCCATCTACAAAAGATCGTTTTGAGCTCACGTCTAAGCTTTCTAAAAAGACATTGCAAGCCTTTGTCAATCTCTGCTTGGAGAAATATGAGCGAGCTCGCGTGGAGCCTGGGCATGCGGTCGGGGCTGTCGGGGCACAGTCCATAGGAGAACCGGGAACCCAAATGACGCTGAAGACCTTTCACTTTGCTGGTGTTGCTGGTATGAGTTTGACCGCAGGTGTTCCTCGAATCAAGGAAATCATCAACGCCTCGAGGGAGATCAGTACGCCAGTCATCACTTGCCGACTGGAGCGCAGGAGAGATCTATCAATACCTGAAGGTCTTGCTCGTATCGTCAAAGGCCGAATTGAAAGCCTGTTTCTTGCAGACGTTACTTCCTGGATTGAAATACGCCACTCTTTGGATAAACCAAGCTGCATCTACCTCCAGATTTCAATGGATACGATTACCGAGCTCGGTTTAGATCTCACAATGGAGGATATCATAGTTGCCATCCAGAAACACCGACAACTCAAATCTGCCAAGCTGAGGATCCGGATTTCCAAGAAAGATGAGCTCAGAATCTCTACGGACTTCGCGATCAAGTCTGCCAAGAGAGGATTAGCGGCAAAGGTTGATGAAGAAGGTCAGAGTGAACGGCTTATTCGCCTTCAGACTCTCCGTCGCATACTGCCGCATGTACATGTTCTCGGCCATCCCCAAGCAACCAGGGCAGTGGTCATGGCGGAAGACGACCCACGATCAGATGAAATCAAGGCTATGCGGAGAGTCCTAGCGGAACAGGAGATGAAGACCGAGCAGCCACAATCAAGTACGGACGCGGAGGTCAAAGATGAGGCCTCGAGCGAAAAAGCCACGGCTCCCTCCAAAGTTAAAGTCGAAGAGCCGACAGCTTCCATCCCCCCCAGTTCCGTCCCTCAAAAAGACGCCGCTCCTGTCCAAATGCACAAAGTCATGGTCGAAGGCTACGGCCTTCGCTACTGTATGAACACCGAAGGCGTCGATCCCTACCATACCGAAACAAACTCCGTAATGGAAACCCTCCAGGTCCTCGGGATCGAAGCCGCTCGCTCCAAAATCATCACTGAGATCCAGGAAGTCACGAAAGGTTTGTCAATCGATCCGCGTCACATGTACCTGTTGGCCGATGTGATGACATACAAAGGCGAGGTGTTGGGCATCACGCGCTTCGGGTTAGCAAAAATGCGTGACTCCGTGCTACAGTTGGCCAGTTTCGAAAAGACGGCAGATCATGTCTTCGATGCCGGTGCCGCGGGCAAGGTGGACCGGATCGAGGGCGTCAGCGAGAGTGTGATTGTGGGCAAAACCATGGGCGTGGGCACCGGCAGTGTCGAGGTGGTGAGGTATTTGAATCTAAGTAGTGCCGACACCGGGGGCAAGACGGGAGGAGCGTTGGAAAAGAGAGTGTGTATTTTTGAGGAGAGTTGGGAGAGGGCGGTCAGGAAAGAGAAGAAGAGAAAGTGAGCACCGTGAGAAATCGATTCGATGTCAGTATCCCCTTTTTTAGGTGAAAAAGATGAATGGCTGTCGATACGATGATATGCAGTCGGAAAGCAACGTTGCGGTCTTTGCCAGATAGATACCCTTGGGGGGATTGGGACTCGTCACCATGAGTTCGAACAAAATATGTCGAAACATTGCTAGTGCAGCAGATAACTCTTGCAGCTGAATCAGAAGAACATAGAATGACGCGAAGTGCACGAAGAGTCCAACTGTAGTTGTTACAACCTTAGTCTTTTGTTCTTTCAAATGCCGGGCGTTTGATATGTACAGAGCCCGCCTCAAGCCTTTTCCCTCTCCTCTCCTAGCCTTGTCACATTGCTCACCCTCGACGCATCAACGCATTGCGCACTCCTAAGGTTACCGGTGTAGCTACCACAAAGCAGAGTCTTCTCCTTGGAAGTGGCTCTTCGCCGACAATCCGCAGCCTCCCACGTCTTATCCTAGCACAGCGCACGATGCGGCATCGAAGACTTAGAATCGTGTAAAGGCGTTTATTTAAATCCTGCCTCCCTCGCCCGCTGGTCCTCGAGTCTTGCGTAGAAGTTGTCCCTCGCTCGGACGCGGGGTAGGTGGTAGCCGTACCACCAGAGGTAGCCGAATGTTGTGCCGAGACCTATATATGTTTCCATCAGCCATATGCTCTGCGATGGTTTCTGGTCCAGGAGCCTCGTCTTCCTTCTCCAAGGATTCACAGGACTCAGATCGTTCGGGCGTAACGGAAGCGAAAGGTGATAATTGTTTGTGGGATCCATCTCTTGAAAATGTGAAAGACTAAACCGATACTGCAAGACCGGAGGAAAAGCTCGAAGGGTAGATCATACCGAGCGCAATGCTGATATCCAAAACGAGACCTCGTCGAAGCATCTGCACAAGTTACTCTTTGTTAGCTTTGCAGCTCCACATCAATTTCAAGGGCAATCCCAGATGTTTCGTTTCCTGTTAAAGGAGGATGTGTGCCGGAGAAGAGGGGGGCGAAGACGCACTCCTGTAATCGGTTTGATCGCCATGGTTCTGGTCTGGCTCTGCTCGAGCTCAGTTCTTCCTCTAAATGTTGGTAGGCCCCGACTCTGAGAGGCAATGCAAAGTGAGGGTGAAGTTGGGAGACGAATAAAAAGGGGAGGAGTAGAAAGGTAGCTAAGCAAAGTGGTGGTCTGATACAAGTAGCTTGTGAAGCTCCTTCAGATCCGCAGTCCAATTGAGATTCTAGGGCCCGAAAGCAGCCTTGGCAACTTATGTAATTCTCAGCCTCGTCGATTCACTTTCCCTCTTTGGTTCCTCTCGCAGTCGACTCCCTGCGCTGCCTTTCCCCATACCGGAAGAGAGTCGATCGCGGGCACAAGGTGATACAGAACTGAGATCGCAGACCAAAGCACGCTCTTTCCCTATCCTATATTTAAACTGTTGTTCTGAGAGTCCTGTGCAATGTTCACCCCTTCGCCGAAGAAGAAGATCCCATACCATCACCACCATATCATGCGACACAAACACCAGACCGTGCCCACCTCGGAACCAGCATTGCTAGCGCAAGAGGTGGTCGATGATTTATTGGTGCTGTCTATAAAGGCGATATGTGAAGAGGAGGCACAGAGGCAAGGCATCAAGAATCCGGTGATTGAGTCGGTGGCATTGGAATCCTTAGCAGCAGCCATGGACGAATGTAGGATACTTTATGTCACGGCAGCACGGCGCATACATGCTGACTTGCTTTGACAGTCATGCTCCAATTCCTTTCCAAGGTCCGACGCTCCATGACCGCAGCTCGGCGAACCTGTCCCATCGCCACCGATTTCGAGACCGCGATCGACGTTCTCGACATCCCTCGGCCCGACGACCAACTCGGCCATTATCAGACTCAACCCTCCATCAACCCTCCTTTACTACCGACGCCGCCTCCTGAAGATGAATTCCACAATCTCGTTGAACTTCCAGCATCATTCCTCGGTCCGGGCTTAGACGGCCACGGCAAGTTGAAGAAATTCTCCTTCTCAACCAAGGGATTGCCCGAGCTGCCCTCTGCACATACCTACAAGGATACACCCGTTTACCCAGAACGACAGTCTGATAGTAGGAAGATGAGAGAATTGGCGACCCAGGAAGGGAAACTTGGTGAGCAAGCATTGCGCAAGTTGGCCGGGGTCGTTAAATTGGATGCTGCTCATCCACTCGAAGTGGAGGGGATATCTTCCAGGCAGAAACCTTCCACGATCATTCGGCGCAAGAGGTGGAAGACCGCAGTTGATTTATCCGAAGAGGCAGTTTTTGAAGAAACCCTGCTCGACTTGCTTGCCAAAGAGCCTGGTGGGTTTGAGCTAGGACCGATTGTCAATTGCGAGAAGACATATCGAATGCCGGAAGAAGTGATGGTCAAGAGGCGGGCACCGACCAACAAGTCCACCTCGGAAAAGCGGAGCAGCTCAGGACTGGACGGAGGCGACGTGGTCATGCGACTTTGATTTCCAGCACCCTTGGTGCTTTTGCAGCGTTGGCGTTTGGGCGGTCTTCCAGATTGGATGGGATGAAGTTGCATATGATACCCCAGGCAGAACAAAATGGAATCACTTTTTGGGCCACAACGAGCTCCAATAGGTCGTAAAGAGATTTGCCGACGACTCGCTTTCAGAAGGCTTTGCTTCGCCGTGCACTGTCGGCTGTGGATTTGCCGGTGGTTTCCAAGCATGTTGACCTTCCCAGGCTGTTGTCTCGACATGGAACACCTTTCCACCCTTGACGCATCTATCATAAAACAAATCGTCAGCCCCTCGGAGAATCGTCACGTCTCACGTGTAGCAACGTACTTTCTAAACAGCCTCACGATGGGGAAACACTCCATCCTGGTGGTCCCGGTTTCGCTCGCCAGGGCCCTTTCATACTGCTGCTTGACCGTCGTGCAGCTGTACTGGACCAATTCCATCAACTCGCAATCCCGCTTGAGGTCGAAGTCCTGCGGCAGTTTGCGAGATCTTTCTTTGTAGTTGACGGTGTGCGAGCGGACGCGCTGGTCGAGTTCGGAAACGGGGAAAGGGTGTTCGGGCGGAGCCATTTTCTGAAGAACTTCCAACAGGATATTTCTTTCAATATCTTTCGATCATCGACGAACAATTTCACGCACGCGTGTCTATCATGGCGGCGTCGTCATGTCGGCAAGACAATATGGAGCTCGCCTCCTCGAAGAGGTAAAGGAAGAGACTCTCGAGCAGGTAAATAATTTCAGCATCAAGCGAATCTTTTTGCAAAGCTCCGCTTCACCTTCCCTCCCCCATATCACTCACAGCCTTGTACATACTTAAGCATTCAAGAGTCAAGACTTGCGATAACATACGTCAATGTCCTAATCATTGTCTTCTATTTCCTTACAGTTCCTAGCGGAGCTCAGATGCTCGATAGACCCTCGGCCAAGGTCTGTCCTGGGAGTTCCACAGCTGGACAGTCTGCTCGAATCACTCCGCTACCCAGCAGCTGAAAGAACGCCAGGAAATCCGCGATGGCGTTCCTCATCAACACCAACATCTCCAGCATTGGACAACAACAACAACAACAACAACAACAACAACAACAACAACAACAACGGCAGCAGCATCAACGAGGGAGAGCAGAGCGACAACGGGGAGATATCTCCCCGCAGACCTCCACTCCGGACGTTTACAGATCCAGCCAAACCGGCAACGATCGAACTCACAAGTCTCAAATCGGCCTCCGGCAAGACCTCTCTGCTCTCCTATCTCTGCGCCATATCGGTCCTTCCGAGAGATCTGGGCGGCAACGAGTCGACGACCGTGTACATCGACGCCGACGGACGGTTCTCGGCTACAAGGCTGGCTCAGATCATGCATCACTACATTCAACATCGTCTCCTCTGTATGGAAGCAGAAACTCCTTCTGCTGCTAATGCTACCCCTGCAGACTCGGAAAATATCCAACAAACCATCCGCTCATCCCTAGACCACGTACACGTCTTCCGGCCGCAGTCGTCGGGCCAACTGATCTCCATCCTCTCCTCTCTACACACCTATCTCCTCGACAGTTCGCGCCATCACAGTATGCATCGCCCACTGGGCCTCATCGTGCTCGACTCAGCGACCGCGTTCTACTGGCAGGACCGAGCCGACCAAGCCATGGCGAAGCTCGAATCAACGGCACCGGGCGCGACGAGAACGGCAACGGCCGCTGAAGGACGGTCACGAGCCGCAGAGACGATCGCGAAGCTCAAGGCCCTCCAGGAGAGGTTCGAATGTGCCGTACTCTTGAGCACCACCACCGCCTCCTCCACCTCCACCTCTTTTTCATCGCTGTCGGCGCGGACCCGGCATGAAACAATTACCGCCAATACCACCCCCGCGCCCTCGAATTTGGACACTCACATCATTTCCCCGTGGACGTCATACGCCACCCTCTCCCTATCGCTCGCGAGGACGCCCGTCTCGCAGTTTCCTCCGCAGATGGGCATCGAAGAGTGCTTGCGGGATCGGGATAGACGGCTCGAAGCCGTGCGGAGGGGGAGATTTGTAGCTACCTTCTTCGGCGGTGCGGCGCATGTGCATGCACGCCGGAGGGGCCAGAAGGAGGGCCAGAGCGAGGGTGGGAGAGGAGGAGGATGGGGGACAGGCGTGTTCGGGTTCCGGAGCACCGCAGACGGCGTGGAGATCGAGTGAGAGCGAGATTCGTTCGTCAGGTTTATTCCTTTCACATGCGCCCTCCCTCTTTCGGCCCGGGGAGGGCGACGTAAATAGGTGTTTTGCATCGAGTTTGCAAAAGACTCTCTCAAATAGCGTGATGAAGACTTCTTTTCAGGGAATATGCAGTCTTGCTGCTTCTGAAAAAAAGGTATGTAGACGCCTCTATTTCCGTTGCAAGCATTCCTTCCCATATATACATCTGCGTCATCTCGTCGTGATCTATGTATGAACAATGGTCTCATTGAAATTAACCATTCATTTCTTGTCCAGGCTGCCATGATATCGAGCGCCAACGTTGGCGCCATCTTTCCGTTGACATTCACATTCACACAGTCTTTCAATGAGAGTGGGTATACTCCTTGTCCCCGACCACTTCCCTGGCACACGCTTTTCTACACTCCTCGAAAACTCTCACTTGCCTCGCCACCTCCTCCAACCTACCGAGAACCTCCCTGTTTCCCTTTGCAAATCCATAAATTGCGTATGGAATCCTTGTCTCTTTGCAGAATTCCCGCACATATACCTGCGCTTTTCGAAGGTTATGTCTTGGGATCCTCGGGTATAAGTGGTGGACAGCCTGAAACTGTAATCCGCCGTGGATGAAGTCAAGCCAAGGCGCGCAATCGACATCCATGGTGGTTCGGAGCATCTTCTGCGGGAAGGATTCGTGCACGCCCATGTCGGTGGTGGACATGGCGAAGTGGGAAAGCGTGATTTGAACATGGAGCGGCGCTGTGACCATATGGCTGACCATGACAAATACGAAGCGGTCCCAAGCTGTCGGGATGGAGCAATACACAATTCCGTACCCGTACCAAGCCCAGAAGACGAATTGCCCCAAGATTTCTAGGTAGCGATGCCACCACGCAGGTCCCTTTTTGGGGGCTTGGCCCAGAAAGAGATATTCCCAAGAGAGACGGTAGAGATTGAAGCGGCCCAAGAGGAGAAGTGGGTAATATAACCAGTGCTGTTTCGCGATGGCCAATTTTGCAATGCTATCGAACTGCATGATTCGATCATAGTAACTGGAGCGCAATGACGAAAAAAACCGCGTGGAGACGGCAAAAAAGGGCATGTGCTCGATATCTGGATCATGTTCAGGCGAGTTTGTAACGATGTGGTGGACGTTATGATTGCGTTTCCACCAGCCAATAGACAAGCCACCCAGGAAGTCGGCGATGAAGATTCCAACACACGTGTCGACGTGGAAGTCGTGAGTGATGCCCATATGTCCGGCGTCATGGGCGGTAAAGACCAGCTGGTGCCAGAACATGCCGAGAAGGGCGCCAGAGAGGGCGTAGTGGGAGTAGTGGAGGGCGAGGAGAGACGACACGAAGAGGAGGATATAGCGGCAGCATTCAATCCCGTAGGCACCGTACGGGCAGTCGTAAAGACCGGCCGCTCGCATCTGAGCATCGAGTTCCCGGTATCTGGCGACAATCCGATCCTGCGAGTTGTAGTCTAATGACGGATATTTAAGGATGTCCGACGACTTTTCGGCCGAAAGCTTCATCTGAATGGGGTCAGTGTCGACGGTCGTCTGTTCATCTTCAGAAACTGAAGAAGTCGACGGTGAGGAAGTCAGTCGTTCTCGAGCATCGACGGGATCGAAGATGGGTGACGGAGGTGCAGTGCTGTTGCTGCAAGAGCTGAGAGCGCCATCCGTCTGGGAACCCGCGTCCTCTTCCTCCTCCACCCCGTTCTCATCTTGACCCTTGGTATATGGCCTGAAATGCCCACCCTGTATAGGAGGCAGAAAGTTGATCCATCTCCCCTCGATCCTCCCAATGCCGAACTTCAGCATGTGCGCCTGCGCCTCGAGGGAGTGAAGTGCCCGGATCTCATCGGTTCCATCTCTTCCGACCATGTGCAAGATGGACTTGTCACCGCCAGGGTGAAAGGGCAGCCAGGCATCAGCCTTGATCACCCGTCCATCGAGGATTATGATCTTTCGTCCCTCTGCAATCAGTCCCTCGATTTCTCGCCGTGACCAAAGGCGGTCCTTCGAGGAGGTCTCGGTGGTCATGGGGCGGTCGTACTGTGGTATGTCGATGTCGGTAAAGGGTTAAGATGCCATTGTGAGAGAGAGGGAGAGGGAGAGAGCAGTCGGTGAGTCGGAAGCTGTCTGATGATGGAGCTATTGTCACCACTGTGGTTGGAAGCTCGCCCCGCCCAAGTTTCCTTGAGGTCGCAGCCCCAAACAGCCCACTAGTCACGCCAGGCCCACAGGTTGTACATACAAGTAGAGCGACAGGTACCTCGTACCTCGTACTGAATATAGCTCCTCCGTCCTCCGTGCATAAACAACCCCTTCAGCTGCACCATCTCGCAACATTTATGCCTGGCAAATAGCAACGGTAAGTCGTTGTTGGAGCTGCTGTAAGATTCGGTGATGCATCTAGGCTGTTCCGAGAGTATTGCGGACGGGACCAGATCTCGGAAGCGGTGGTCAAATCCACGACTCCCAACGAGATGACCTCGCTTCGATCGTAGCATGAGACTGTCGTTTCTCAAAACAGCTATCAAGGGGGCCGTCGGCAAAGTCAGCGAGGATGTCACGCGTTGCAGTCTTGTATCAAGCCTGCGAGCTGCCGGTCATCAATGGTGTCCGCAAACCCCGGACTGATGGGCTGACATCGCCTACGTCCTTGAATCCATAAGGGAGATTGCGGTCATTACTGCAGAGCCAAGTCCAGACCCGAGGCGAGACGAGGGTTGGTGCTTTCCAGACACGGAGACTGGCCTTCTGGCCGCTATCGAGCGAGGCACCAACATTTTATGGGCGAACACGATTCTCTTTGCTTCACACCCGCCACAGACATCGTCCGCTCTTGACAAATACGCAGCTGAGGTGAAAGTGGTTGGTCAACCACCTCGATTCGTTCAGCAGTACGATGACAAAAATTACGTCAACCATCTCCTCCGCGATCATGATGGCTTTACCATGGACCGTAGATTCCGCATTGTCTCCCAGTCTTGAATCTTTGCTATATCCGATCGCTGCCAAACCGATCCGTGGTCGAGGAAGTCACGGGGTCAAGGTGTGCCGCAATCCGGCGCATCAGTCAGCACATTCATCCGCCTTGTTCAAAGAAAGCCCGGTCGCCATGCTCGAAGAATATCTCTGGGGCCAGAAAGCAACCGTCACCGTTATGCCACCATTCCAGGACCATCCAGCTTACTACGAGCTGCCACTCGTCGTGCGCTTCAACCACGAAGACGGCATTGCACCGTATAATGGCGTTGTGGTTGTGACGGCCAAATCAAGAGTCCTGACACCGCACGAGGAGGCTCAAAATCCGCGGTACCAAGAGACCAGCCAACAGTGCGAAGAGGTTGCGCGCTTGTTGCGGGTGACGGCGCCGATAAGAATCGACGTAAGCAGTTCACAGAGGCAAAGGATTCGGTGTTCGCCATCTTCGACGTCAATATGAAATCTAACATGACCGATCCAGGCCGGACCGGCCGCGAAGACCAGGCAAGTCTGACGGCAATGGCTGCCAGTGCGCTTGGATGGGACTATCCGGAGCTGTTGGCGAGGATGCTGAAGTCTGCTCGAACGCTGCAAGATCTGAGGTCCTTGGATATCTAACTCTACTTTATTGAACTAGTACTGCATCCTTGCTCAGCTTGCTTTTTTCTGTTTCATGGAAATCCTCGGAGCATATCCAAAAAAGAATGGGGCCGGCCTGTTTTGCACATGATAGCGTTTTGTCCAGCTCCGTTTCTGCAGAAGCAGGCACGCGATCCAGTCCTAATTGCTCACCCACGATCCTGTCCAGGCGCCTCAGGCCTTTCTTTCCCAAGATCCAAACCTGCGACGACCTCTCACTGATCCTACTTCGCGGGTGCACGTCCTTGCACTAGCCACGCTATACGCCGAACTCAAATGCAACAGTCCGCCTTCTAGCCAGTTTGGTGTCCCGATATCTCTCTCTCTATCTACGATCCGTCGTGATTTGGCATTGAGGTTGCTTGGACGTCATCACCGTCATCTCGATTCAGCGCCCACACCGGACAGAGCATGGATATAACAGGTGATTTGGAAAGCAGCTTCTTCGTTTACATTAGGAATGCATCTAGTCTTCCACAACAGCCCCTGCACCCAATTCACGCGAGATTCTAGAAAGGCATATAAACGATCACTACCCTGTATCCCTATGCCACTCACCCATCATGCTGATCTTCTTGCCTGCTTCCTCCCCTGAGGCATCTAGCCTGCGTCTCTTGCAGAATTCTCCGTCTCATGATGGTAGTCTCGATCAAGAGAGGGAGGTCCGGGGGCAGTCGTCGAGTCAAGTACTTCAGAGCCTGGTGGTGCGGAGTTATTGCCGGTGGAGGGCCTAGTGCTCCCACGCTCGGCGTCACGTCCGCGCCGGGAATGCATTGCAGGCGCCGCCTCGCTCGACACTACAGTATTCATATTGTTGCTTCGAGCCCTCTGTCGCGTCGGTTTTTTCTTTGCGGTACGATGCTGGTGGTAGCTTTCCTTTGCCGCCAGCGCCACCAGTTCGTCCGTGCGCTGTAAAAGACTGGTGTGAGGTCTCTCAATCCAGTGAACCACCTTCAACTGGTCGTACAACATCCGAAAGAGCCCAAATAAGACGGAACCGCACGCTGACATCATGGCAAGATACTTGGCAATCAAGACCTTTTTGGTCCCGGCCTGATGACGCAGAGTCTAGCGCAGAGAGCCACCCATCCCTACCCGGAGATCTAAGGCGACGCAAGGTTTCAACCGCACTGGTCACTTGGGACGGTTGCATTTTTGTCGCGAATGCGCTCGTCTGGGTGAGCTGGAAGTTTGAGTCTCGTGGGTAGACAGCAGGAAGCTCTGGCTGCAAAGCCATCGGTGCCACGTTCACATCTCGATTCTGTAGAATGGTAGAGATATGTATAAGGAGGTCGGAACCCCAGGCATAGGTGGAATAGAGAGTCGGCCACAGTTTGGATGCTGAAACCATCTGCAAGTGTGACTGCAACTTCCTCGCCGGTGTAGAGTGTCCGGTTCACTGGGAGGGGCGGTGTTGATGGGGACAGGGCAAAGCCGGGTCGGATTCCAGCGAGCTGGCCGACAGCACATCTGTCACTCTATTTGGAGCTCCACTGATCTCAGTTGGAAGGAACGGGGATCTCTGTATCCTAGTGGGGAGGCCCACAGGTAGAGAGTAGACGGGCGTCGGGGTCAAGTTCAGCGTATTAAAGGCGATGATGAGAAGCGCACCCGAAACCAATGTCATGACGGCGTAATGTGGACGAGGGCTGACCTGAAGAATAGAAGATGAATAGGGTCCTTCTTTCTGCTGTCGTGAAAAAGGCTTCACAAGGTGTGTCAAAAAAGAATGAGAGTGCGACACGAGGACTTCGATCGGACATTCTCAACGTGCTACTCAATACAACGCCTAGCCTCCTCGAAGGTAGCTAGACCGGATCTTCTATAATGCCATCGGAATGCCTTCAGTTGGTGGGGGCTTCGTGGAGACGGACAGGAAGGCGCAACGGCGCAGTAGTGAGGCCGTATGCATGGCGCACGATCGGATCAGTCTCGTAAGTCTCGATGCCGTCGAATTTCTGCAGCATGCGGACAATGACATAGCCCGCTTCCGTCAGTGCAAACTGCTGTCCAAGGCAAATACGAGGTCCGCCGTTGAATGGCAGGAATTCCCAGCCCGGCCGTCGCCCGATCCATCTGTCGGGCTTGAATTCTTCCACGTCCGGTCCCCAGATATCTGCCCTGTGATGCATGACATGGACCGAATAGTTGACCTCCGTCCCTTTTTTGACATAGATTGGCGAGTTACCGTCTGGACCTCCGCCGTGGGGGAGCGTGGTATCCCTTGTGGCGCGGCGACTGTTGAAGGGCACCGTGGAGAAGACTCGGAGCGTTTCGGACAGGACGTGTTGCAGATAGGCGCAACTTTTGAGAGTTTCAAAGGTGATGGCCTTGGGGTCTTCGTAAGTGCCAAAATCCTCCAATATGGTTTCGCGCAGCTTCTTGAAGACTTTGGGATGCCTGACCAATAAATAAAACGTGAATCCAAGTAGACCCGCAGTCGTATCACGACCGGCGAGGAGGATGTTCAGGAGTTGGCTTCGGAGCTCGATGGGGTCCCGTGTCTGTTGTACAAGCTCCTTCAAGAAGATGTACTTCTCCTTCTTCTGGCCCTTTTCCAGGTTGTGTTCGTTCAGTGACGAGAGGTCGGTGGTCAGAGCAAGATTGACGTAGTAGTCAGCAAATCTATGAACCTCCTTGCAGTTCTCGTAGAAGTGCTTGGGGCTGTAAAGCCAATACATCTCTGCCAATCGCCCACGGACGCCGAGAGCCATAGTGCCGCCATCAAAGCAGGATGCGAATGATGTCCAGTCCAGCTCACCAGGTTTCCTAGTCTTTTGAGTATAACCCGGCAACGCCGCGAGTTGCGAGTCCACGCTCTGGCCGAACAGAAATTCGGTGGCAGAGTCAAGCGTCAAACGGAAGAAGAGTGGGGACAGATCAACTTGACCAGTCCAGCCATTTTCTGTGGCGAGATGTCTAAACATGTCCTGAACATGGACTTCTTCCAGTTGCAAATCGGCGACTTGTTGGCGCGCGAACTGGGGGCGGAGAAGAGCACGAGAATGTTCCCTACAAATGCGTCAACCGAGCTTGCAACATTTGCGCTCATGGAGGAATGTAAACTGACCATGCCTTGCCGTCACTGGTGAAGATGCCATTGCCCAGCATGGGGAAGAAATTCCCACGACGCTGTTCTCCAATCTCGAAGTCATTGAACTGAGTTGCCAGTATAGCCTGGATGTTTTTGGGATCCGAGGTCACGTAGCCCATGGTTCCCAACATATTTTGTGCCCATGTTGCCCTTTTTCCGGTCCTGTTATTGTACACGTCTAGAAAGTAGCTGGGAACAACATTGTTCTTGTCAGCCTGAATGATTTCCCAGACCAAGTCAGTGCCAAACGGCCAACGGTAAGGGCGCTCCCAGGCTGGTTGACATCCAAGCTCTTTGGCTTTTCGAGCGTGGTAGCGCTTTGCAAGGAAAGAAGCTACTAAGAAATAGACGATTGATACTCCGAGCAGGCCGAGGCCCAGTGTGAGGTAGTGGTTCATTTTCGATCAGAAGCCAGTCCGAACGAGAGCGACACAGCTGGGTTCCAATGGAGCACCCGAGTTATTGAAGAAATAACAAAGGGAGACCAAAGTGTCGAGATGTCAGCATTTAAAAGGATAATGGGTGATACCGTGCACATGGGTTCAGTTCGCCTGATGGCTTAGGAGGGGAGGCGATGCCGGTCACCGCGCTTGTAACGGCTTTCACCTTGGCTTATACCGCCATGTAACAGCTCGTACTCGACGCTCTTCACCTGCCAAGTACGGCGTCGTCCTCCTCCTGTCAGATGTGTAATATTCTCGCGTACACATGATCTTAGACGTGAGAGGCCAGTTCCTTTACCAGGGATGCGAAGGACAGGACCGCACATTGCCCAATTGGGGTTGAACGTTGCTTGCGTGGAGAAGGGCAGGGAGCGCAGGGAGCCCCAGGTCGGTGCCAGGGTGGTCTGGATGATCTGAGTGGTCTGAAGGCCTTGGTCCGTACCGGGTACTTTTGGGTCTCCCAAAGTGGTTTACACACCCCACAGACATTAGCAAGGGTCAGCGAGGGTTGGGACATGAATTGATGACTATTCCCCGCCTCCGAGCGAGCTCGGCCTCTCTAACCATGCTGTTATTGGAGGGACCTTAGATTCGGGAGCATCAGTTAGACCGACTCGACGACGGCCTCTAGCAATGAATTTGCCCTTCCAAGCGACTTAGAACACTTAGGTCGAGAGGTGTGAAAGTCAGGAGACTCGTTGCTCCGCGTCCGTGATTGAGGGGTCAATACGCGATACGAAGTAGGATACGAGTTGGAATGATCCAAGGGTCAGGGAGGGTGTACCAAGTAGCCGAAAATCTGCCAACCTTGCAGACTTTCCTCGGTCTTCGCACCAGAAGGAGGGACCTTGTTGGAGTGAGACAGCGGGCCTGAATCGCCATCTGGTCGTATCATTTGGAGGAAGGAAGTTGCTAGTCATTTTGGTGGATGCTGACGCGCCAGGTCTTGTCCCCGCATTTGAACGCATTCAGATCGAGACATCTTTGCATTACGCGGCTGCGAAGCCCGTGGGAAACCCGCCGCCCAGATGAGCCTATAACTTGAAGCACTTTGGAAACGATGTTTCAGGCCCTCCGTGGCGGGTGCTCGGACTCTCAATAGCCATCTTGCAATTTCTTCAATGGGAAAGCCGGTATCGACACTGTTCTCGAGCGCGTCAGCCCGTATCTATCCGTCGCGAGTCACACAAGCTAAAATAATCCTGCAAAGAGAATCTGCTCAAAGTAATGGATGTTATTGTCCAATATTTCGACTGGGTATCTGATTATTTCATTGTTGGTCCAGAGTTCTCCCTGTAACATAGTGTACACCTTTTTGACATGACGGATTTTGCGCAAAGTGGAGGATCTAGTAAAACGGGTAGGAAGCAATGCCCAAAACTATGAGGACACACAGGTGGGAGAGAATCATTCCTTGACAAAGTTCTCGAGATCTGGTCCGA